CACAAGATGCAATGACGTATGTTCGTGCATATGGTCGTCCAGATTTTTTCATCACATTTACATGCAACCCAGCATGTGATGAAATAAAGGAGCTTTTATTGACTGGACAATCACCATCAGATCCTCATGATATTTTCGCACGTGTATTTGAACAAAAATTAAAATCTTTACTAGATTTTATTGTCAAGCATCATTTATTTGGAGAGTCCGCTGTTGGATGTATTCCATTGAATGGCAAAAAAAGAGGTTTACCACATGCGCATATATTTAATATGGATGATGGAAAAGATAACACCAAGCAGAATTGATGAAATTATCTCTGCAGAAATACCAGACATTGAAATTGATAAAGACTTGCACGTTATTGTCTCAAAAATATGATTCATGGTCCATGTGGCTCACTAAATAATAATTCACCATGCATGTCGGATGGAAAGTGCACAAAGCGGTATCCTAGAGACTTACTTGCTGAAACTATTACAGGCAATGATGGATATCCCCTCTATCGACGACGATCTACCGAAGATTGTGGAAAATTCTTTAAACTAAAGGTACTCAACAATACTATTGATGTTTATAATCGTTGTGTAGTACAATATTCTCCATCAGTACTAAAAACGTATAACGCACATATAAATGTTAAGTTCTGCAACTCAGTGAAAGCTATAAAATATATTTGCAAATATGTGAACTAAGGAAGCGATATAATTGGGATATTTCTCACTCGCTGATGCTTCTAATACACCTCAACCACAGCAGATACGTACGCTATTTTCCATCATACTAACTACATGTTTTCCGGCTAATCCAAAGGATCTTTGGGAAAAATATAAAGAGTATATGAGTGAAGACATTTTACATCGCATGCGTAGAATATATGCTAATCCCAACATTCAGTTTATATCAAATATATACAATGAAAGGGTGTTTGACAATAGCCAAGAAATCATTGACAGAATTGGGAATGATTGCTTCAAATAGATCTGGTATTGACATTTTCGATCGTGATATACAACGAGAAACGCACTTCGATGTTGATGAATTACAAGCATTTGTTCGAATTAATCTGCCGAAATTTGTATTATAGCAACGGACAGCATATGACACAATTATAAATGCAATATCTAACAAGAGTTGTTGTTTATATTTCTTAGATGCACCTTGAGGCACTGGAAAAATCTTTCTTATTTCAATTATTCTGGCAACTATAAGATCACAAAATAATATTGCGCTTGCTATTGCATCATCTGGTATTGCAGCAACTCTTTTGGACGGTGGTCGAACAGCACATTCAGCGTTGAAATTGCCATTAAATATGCAGGTAATTGAAACTCCAACATGTAATATTAGCATATATTCTGGGATGGGAAAAGTACTAAGATCATGTCAGCTTATAATATGGGAGGAATGCACCATGGCACACAAGAAATCTTTGGAAGCACTCAATAGTACATTAAAAGATTTGAGAGGAAATGAGCAGTTCTTTGGTGGTGCACTCATTTTGCTAGCTGGTATTTTCCGACAATATCTATCAGTTATACCATGTTCAACACCTGCAGATGAATTGAATGCATGTCTAAAATCATCAGTATTATGGCGGTATGTGGAGAAAATATATTTAAAGACCAATATGCGTGTTCAATTACAACAAGATGAATCTTCTGAACGATTTGCAAAACAATTGTAAGATATTGGGAATGGTAAATGGAAATGGACGAATTCACACACTGTATTACATTACCAGAAAACCTTTGTCACTTTGTGAAATCCACTGATGAATTGATTGCCAAAGTTTTTCCAAATTTATCGCAGAATTATAAAAATAATCATTGGGTTAGTGAGCGTGCTATATTGTCAGCCAAAAACATTGATGTGAATTTAATTAACTGCATAATTTAAAATGAAATACCTGAAGAAGAAACAACATATAAATCCATAGATACTGCTGTCAATCCCGATGAATCAGTTATTTATCCAATATAATTTTTAAATTCATTGGATCTACCAGGAATGCCACCGTATATTTTACTTTGAAAATTGGTTCCCCAATCATCCTTCTACGAAATATAAATCCACCGCGACTCTGCAATGGGACTAGGCTATCAGTAAAACGTTTACAGTTTCCTGTCGACTAGCCTTTGCAATGACCATTAACAAAGCACAGGGACAATCATTGCAAGTATGTGGATTAAATTTCATAAATCCATGCTTCTCACATGGACAGCTGTACGTTGGGTGATCACGAGTTGGAAAACCATCAAATTTATTTGTTCTTGCACCAGATAGGAAAACAAAAATGTTGTATATTTACAAGCACTACTAAGATAAAGTTCACCATCAATCATCAAATATCATTCATTTCATGATGATATTTAATAATTACAATATTGTTGTTCAATTGAAATTCGTTTGCAATATTGTTTAATATCACAAATGAAGAAGCATGTTTATTCTACCATTAACTATGTATATCTATGTTTTGTACATATGTTATATTCAAATGACTTATATGTAGGGATAATTTAATAAATAATTTTCATTTTGATGTATTGTATACATTTTATCATTAATAAATTATGTTTGGGGTATCAAAACTGCCTTTGTCTACAAACACAGCAACGTGTGAATGGGTACAGCTTATCTTTATAAAAAAAAGTTTAAGTAGAGAGTGGATGTATACTCGAAAAATAATTCTTATCAAGTACTGGTTAGGTAAACTTTCACTAGGGTAAAACCCGGGTGAAGCCGGGTACATCCGCTAGTTAGCATATATTGGCGAAAGGGCATTTTTAAATAAATGCCTGCCAACGAAATATTCCATTTGACGTAAAAAATAGAAATATTTCTCACGATGCTCAAGAGAGTGAAGAATTACTTTGAATAAATAAATCACAAGATTTGTTTCCTTGTAAATTCGAATCTGAGTTATGACCTTTACAGTCAGGGGGGCTTTAATTTTGAATCATTCGACTGTATATGTCATAGAATCAATCGAATCTAACAGATAAGGGTTTTACATTTTGAAGATTTAATAGTAATTTTAGTCCAAAAATCATTTGTAAAATAGAATGCATCCAGTTAGGCACTTTTAAAAATATTTTTCTCTATATTATTGAATGTAATAATGAAAAAACCTTTCAAATGAATTACTAAATGATTTTTATATATCCTTCGGAAAACGAGCCCTAAGTCACATTGCCTGCCTCAGCAAATTCAAAAGATAAGACAACATTTATTTCATGATTAAACATTTTTCAAGCTAGAATTATTTAGGTTTGGATTGAATATAAACTTTTTCTTCAGGGTGATGCATCGCTATAAATAATATATTGAAAGAAAATGCTGCATTTTCGAACATAGGTAATGCTATAGGTAATAAATGTCTTAGAAATGGACAAACTAGATAGAGGCGTAGTGGAAATTATGGATGTTTACTTTGGTATAATGCTTAGCATTCAGATTATAAAATGGGAATAATACATAGTAGTCTATAATTTGAAGAATATTGTATAAACTTATTAAGACAGAGATTGGAGGAAAAAAGGGAAGATTATTGATAAAGAATTGATGCAAATGTAAAGAATAATGAAACATATAATAAGTATATTTACAGAAGAATTTAATTCATGATTAAAAATAAGTAGATGCATTTAAAAAAATATAAAATAAACTATATTTAAGATATAATTCAATTTCTAAGTAGAATGAAGTAAAATAGGTGAAACATTAAAATTAATTTAAGAAAGGAAAATAATATTATTTGAGCGAAATAACATTAAGATTTAAAGTAGTAATTTATTATAGTACGAAGGTTTTGAGTCAGACAAATTTCAATGAAGAAATGCTCGAAACAGTTAAACGAAAATAGTTAATTTTTTTAATCGCTTACGATCGAAGATTTTAACGTATTTTCTTTTAAATATAAGGTGAAAATTGACGGAGCAAATTCACTAGATTATATTGATTAGGCTCAATAACCTATTGTTTTTGCATCGATGTTGAGAATAATGATGTCACTTAGAAATAATACATGATTTTCGAAAATTACACAATATAATTAATTTCCTTTCACAATTTTAGGGTATTGTAACACAAACACAAACATATATATACTCTATAAGTGTGCATCAGTACGATGGTATTATGCATCACTCTAGTAAAAAGCTTACTAGTAATGATAAACAAAGAGCCACAAATCCAGTTCTGGCAAATTCGAAAAAATACGACAACCTGTATTAATGGATTCGGGCATTTGCTTCAAACAGGGCCTTATCTACTCTGGAAAAGGGCCACAGTGTGTTATCGAAACGTAGGACATTTAACTTTGAGAAGTGTATTGAGTACCGATTTCCAATTAATCATAGCTCAATTTAATATAATGGTGTTTTTAAACATATATTTTAATGAAGGAAATATATTTTAAATAAATAACACTAACCCATTATTTTCGTTCAAAGCGCTCTCAAGCTCGGCCGAATCATATTCCTCTGAAATCACACAAGATGATAATATTTTATTATTAGATTTTATTAATATATATTTATATATTCACTTATATATTGTTTCATTATATATATATATATATATATATATATATATTATTTAAAGATTATTTATTGAATCCATATTATAAAAATATTATTTATTGAATCCAAGATGTGCCCTTTATGAACATATATATATTTTTGAAAATAGAGCAATCCATATTTAATTCATTAGATAATAAAAAGGCATATATTGGATTTAATAAAATATTTATTTTACCAATATTTCGGCTGGCTGAACGCCAATACAGTATATATATTTATATATATATACTGTATTAAAATACAATATAACGCGGCTGATGATTGTAAAACGAAAATTAAAATTATACCGCGAATGTTTCTTTTAAAAATCGGAATTTATTTTCAAAGAGAAATAGCGACATTTCTAACTTTGAGGATGAGGTATGGAAAGGTGAAACATGAAGAGTAATGGAGAACGGAAAAATAAAAAGTGTCCAGGGGCGGGAATCGAACCCACACCCTTCTGCTTAACGGGCAGGTGCCTTGTCCTCTCGGCTACCCTGGTCGTATTTTTCCGTTCATAACTCATATTTAAAGTAACATTTAAAATACAATATAACGCGGCTGATGATTGTAAAATGAAAATTAAAATTATACCGCGAATGTTTCTTTTAAAAATCGAAATTTATTTTCAAAGAGAAATAGCGACATTTCTAACTTTGAGGATGAGGTATGGAAAGGTGAAACATGAAGAGTAATGGAGAACGGAAAAATTAAAAGTGTCCAGGGGCGGGAATCGAACCCACACCCTTCTGCTTACCGGGCAGGTGCCTTGTCCACTCGGCTACCATGGACGTATTTTTCCGTTCATAACTTATATTTAAAGTAACATTTAAAATACAATATAACGCGGCTGATGATTGTAAAACGAAAATTAAAATTATACCGCGAATGTTTCTTTTAGAAATCGAAATTTATTTTCAAAGAGAAATAGCGACATTTCTAACTTTGAGGATGAGGTATGGAAAGGTGAAACATGAAGAGTAATGGAGAACGGAAAAATAAAAAGTGTCCAGTCATCAGCCGCGTTATATTGTATTTTAAATGTTACTTTAAATATAAGTTATGAACAAAAAAATACGTCCAGGGTAGCCGAGTGGACAAGGCACCTGCCCGGTAAGCAGAAGGGTGTGGGTTCGATTCCCGCCCCTGGACACTTTTTATTTTTCCGTTCTCCATTACTCTTCATGTTTCACCTTTCCATACCTCATCCTCAAAGTTAGAAATGTCGCTATTTCTCTTTGAAAATAAATTTCGATTTTTAAAAGAAACATTCGCGGTATAATTTTAATTATCGTTTTACAATCATCAGCCGCGTTATATTGTATTTTAAATGTTACTTTAAATATAAGTTATGAACGGAAAAATACGTCCAGGGTAGCCGAGTGGACAAGGCACCTGCCCGGTAAGCAGAAGGGTGTGGGTTCGATTCCCGCCCCTGGACACTTTTTATTTTTCCGTTCTCCATTACTCTTCATGTTTCACCTTTCCATACCTCATCCTCAAAGTTAGAAATGTCGCTATTTCTCTTTGAAAATAAATTTCGATTTTTAAAAGAAACATTCGCGGTATAATTTTAATTTTCGTTTTACAATCATCAGCCGCGTTATATTGTATTTTAAATGTTACTTTAAATATAAGTTATGAACGGAAAAATACGTCCAGGGTAGCCGAGTGGACAAGGCACCTGCCCGGTAAGCAGAAGGGTGTGGGTTCGATTCCCGCCCCTGGACACTTTTTATTTTTCCGTTCTCCATTACTCTTCATGTTTCACCTTTCCATACCTCATCCTCAAAGTTAGAAATGTCGCTATTTCTCTTTGAAAATAAATTTCGATTTTTAAAAGAAACATTCGCGGTATAATTTTAATTTTCGTTTTATATATACTGTATATATACTGAATGTAATATTTAAATCAGAGAAACAATTCTTTCAATAGCCTTGAAGAACGAGAGTGGTGTACGCGTGCTCGCATGTTTTAGTAAAAAACACAAACAGCCTCGATAAAGAGATTGCGAGTTTCCCCTCGAAATATTGGAACAAAAAAATTAAAATAAAAATTTGCATCTTTTCAAAAAATATATATGTAATATTGTTTCCAATGATCCTGTCGATGTATGGATAAACTGGCAGTCGTTTGCGTGTGGTGAGTGTTGATGATCTTCCCACACGCGGACAATAAGAAACAGAGGCAGGGCTAGATGTTAGCACCGAGAGTGTTCGGGGACAGCCCACGGGACAGAGGTAGAGGCCATGATACAAACTTGGATGCCTATCACCGAGACATGGATAGAGAGACCAAGAGAGACAGAAGGGGTCTGCCAATGGACACACTGTATAACATACTCCCGCTGACCTTCTGCTAAAACCTGTCCTGTTTACTGGGGTCGACTATAAAAAGCCTTCGGAGGGGACCCCATCTGGGCTGGGTGTTGGCTTTTTCTCCCTTCTGGCCCGGAGCTGACCACTCTTTGGATCTTTATTTTGACGTCACGATTTTATACAATAAGAGTACAGGTTATATTAAAAAGGATATAGCATTTATACAAAATATGGGTGTGTTAGAAAATAAGAATAGTTTACATTTCAAGAGAAGTGTATCATATAAAGTATCTGCTCTAACTAATTGGAAGACATGTGAAATATACTAAAAGTGTCAATATTATACAGTTTAAAATATATTATATATATAGTCGCTTTTATATAAACTAGAAAATTTTGATATTCATCACAAATGTATTTACGGAGATAAATTAGAAAACCAAAATAAATATTATTGGCAAAGTTTCAAATAAAATCGAAAATATCAACATTTAGTTGATTTCTATTCCACTAGAAGGCGCTCTGCCATATAACGCCTTTATTTATTTTAATACCAACACCTGACCTTTTTTATATTTCCACACACACTTATATTATGTTATATTATGTTACTTACCCTCAAACTCAGCAGTAGCAACTGCCAATAGTACCGCAACAGACACCAAAAGGAAAGCTATCTTCATCTGGAATATTACATTTTATATTAGAGAGAAAAGGTATAAATCATTTATTATTTTGAAAAATAATAAATATTATCAAATCCATTATCATGTTTGCTCTACAAATAATTCTTGAAAACACTTTATGGTATATAATACAAACAAATTATTTCTTGAAAAAAAAAACATTTCGGACAGTTAAAATGTTATAAGTTACTAGACGAATGACCCGGTTTCGCATGAGAATTCCCCCGAGTGCAATTTCCTTCATACAAAAAAGTACATCAATAATATATAGTAGAAATGCCATAGCATAGCAATACAGAAGTAACATATAAACCACCAGGCAAAGTCCCTGTGATGGCAGAAAAATTGTATTATATTAGTGTTTTGGTATTTGATTTAATTATTTTTGCAATTCATTTAGTTGTTTTGATATCAATATAGTTTAAATAGATTGCAGCCTTTCTACCCAACCCCAGTGAATTAACCCTTGAAAATGCCTGAGTTGAGTGAGAGACTGCGATGGATCTTGACTGCGATGCCCATCTTCTCAATAAGAATAGGACAACATAGGTTTATAAAAAAATTATTTCAAAATACTGGCGTGTAAATATTTTCTGTAAAAGGTTGAAGAGCACATGGAAATAAGGCAAACATAAGTGTTTGCTAATGACTACGACTGCATTTCAAATGTTTATTTTTAAGAGATAAAAAACCAAAGGCCAGAACAAATATTAATAAAAAAATATTTACATACAGTAACGCTATTTTTTTAAGTTTTTGTTTATTGCCTTGTGTGCACTTATCAAAAATTAGCTAGAAATATAAATGTCTGCCTTAATACTCAATACTTTTGTAAAAAAAAGTAACACACGTATAAAAATATATTTAATAAACAGAACGCAAGCAACATGAAAAAAATGCAGAAGGCTCATTGGTCGCTTATTTGGCCTGGTGTTGTTACTTCGCCTCGTATATACTCAGCGTAAAAAAAAAGATATTCAAATAGAAAAATAAATAAATAGCCAAAAATACTAATCAAATTGTAGCAAAAAATATTCCTCAGGTGTATAAAAAGCGGCATGCAAAATTTGGTACCAATTGGTTCAGTTTTTGAGTTTAACGCGAAATAGAAAACAGACATTGACTTTAATATACAAGAGGATAAATACTGGAAAATATATGTTGAACTTCAGCCGCTTCTATTTTTTTTTTTTACATTCGAACTGGGCGTTAGCGGATGAGGGCCTAGCAGCGATAGCTTGCCACTTCCTTTGTCTATGAGCTTGGCTGGTACTTTATGTTTTGGTTTGGCAGTGCGTAGATTGTTTCTGGATATGCCAGGCCTTTTCACCTGATTATTACCCTCGAATTGGTGCCGTTCGATTATTTATAGAACCTTTTTACTACAGAACAACATCAAGCCTCTTCGACTAGGTGATTCTTCTAATACTGAATAATTGCAGCCCAGACTCGAAAAACAAGACCGACTCGTAGACTGACTACAGACTCATTTTATTAGCCAGCTGGCAGTTTCACACATTCAAATTTGCTAAAGTAACAAATTTTACATAATAGGCGTTAAAAAAAAAAAAACAACAAATATGTTTTTCTTTTCTTGAAATATAAGGAAATATTTTTCTATTATATTAATAAATTTACAAATTTATAAAAATCTTGAAAATTATATATATAATTATTTCAAAAATTGTAATATTTCAAATGTAAGAAATTGGGCAAAAAATACCTTCCTAAAGGAATTGATATTGATTAAATATATAAGAAAAATCGAGTTTTATTAAATTAAAAAATATAAATAAGCTATAATATTGAAAGTTCTTAGTTTTTTTTTATTTTAGTTCATATTTCTAATTTTTTCATTCAGGATAATTCTTCAAATTATATTTTGTGAATATAATAAAATTCTAAGTGAGGTACTCACCTTGAAGGTCTCGTAATGTGATATCTGTGGAAACATCCGCAATATATATACAAATCCAAATCTGGCGCAACATCTGTATCTATTTTTACAGACTTTTTTTTTCATTGAATTACAAAAAGACAAGCGTTTATTGTATGTATATTATACAGGTGCGATGGCTCTTAAAATACAATTCAATACGAAAAAGTAGACCTACACGTAGAAAAAATTAAGTAAAATTTCAATATAAAATGTTTGTAAATATTATAAATGCCCGTAACACCTGAATATATATATATGATAATTTAAACCAATAACCCTATATTATGTAATACGTATAACAAGATTGTCATGTTGTATATAGAACTAATTATAAACTATAACTAATTATACGCATAAATGACATGTCTTCTTGCGTCACCATATGTAATGTACTGAGGATGAATAAATAAAACTATATAATAGATTAAAAGTTGAGTTAAAAGCAAGATTAAGAGTAAATCACAAAGTAACTTCTAAAGATAGATGGAAGCCGACAGTCTGGTGCCAGTGTCGATTAGCGGACACGTGCAGAAAGGCAATACTTCCTGGTTCCCTTCC